CACTAGCGGGGATTTAAAGAGAAGTGAAATGATAGCGGTAGGATTAAAGATAGTGGATAAGAAATGATTATGTCTGTTGAGGAAGGACACGAACAATTTGAGGAGGATTCCGTGATGCTTCGACTCGATTAAACGTTCAATTTGCTGCTGATGATAGTAAAGCAAGAGGAAAAGAAATATTACTTTATCTCTAATATTGATGCAGACGTGCATGAGTTGAAGCCGTCGATACTTTGAAATCTCGATCGACCTTTTGGTCTGCACTCAATCGAAGACTTAAGTTTTTTGTGAATGCCCGCAGGTGTTTCCAGATTTCTGAACCCAATTGTCTGAACAATGTAATAGCTTGTCGCTTTTGTTCCTCTGATGATTACAACTCTTCAAAAAGCAGGTGTCGTCGAATTCTTTACTCCCAAAATAACTCTCTGCCCGTAAAGCAAAATCGAATCCAATAGTCATCGACGCGAATCCTTGCGTGTCTATAGTCTTTGCCGTGGTTGCGTTGGTGCGACCAGAATTTGCCCTTGAGAAGTTGTCACGTCCTGCTACGTACAATTGAGAATGACCACCTGCTTTGTTAGGACCAATTTCATGCGGTATCATCCCACCTGACGTTTTTGTCCCCGCCGGAAATCCTTATAATTTTTTCCATCATTGACTTTTTTATATTAGAATCGTCACAATTAATAGTCACGAATCACCATAACAATATGCACTGAGACTCGAGTATGATGTCATGAGAGAATTTTTGGCATTTCTGCGAAAAGTGAATCTGATTTTGATATAGGTTATAATCATGCAATCCTGCTATACAATTTTCTTCACTTTATTTATTTGATTTCCTGCCCATCGATAAAATTTTCACACAATTAGAAGGTAATTCTGATTGAGCGAAGGTATGTTTAAGTATCCTTTAAAATGCTAATGAGCAAAAAAATTTGTATGTTCTATTTCGTTTAGAGCCTTAGGTTAAATAAATAACAACTTTCATTTTATATGGGAAAAAAAAATCGCAAAAATATAAAATCATTTAATTTTATTATTAATAATATATTGATTTATCTGCAATTATTTCAGAAATTATCATTATATCCAATTAACTCTGAACAGTCTTAAACTCTCGACGACGTTGAATGCATCAAGCAAAATACAGGATTATTAATAAGTAGCTTTTATAGTAAAAATTATCCTAAACGTTCCTCAAGGCTGAGAAAGTCATTTTTTTCAATTTCCAATAATTTCTCAACCTCATAACACTCTTGGTTTAATAAAAATTGTCCTCCACTAAATGATGAAATTAAATGATATTCTCATAAAATACAGCAAAATAATTTTCTTTAAAGAGTTTCCACTTTTAAAATACTTTATTAAATAATTGCCCTCAATTTTTATCATTGCGTGTAAGTTGAAATTTGTTTTTTAAAATAGTCGAGAAAAATTAAAAGCCAAAAAAAAAGATGAAAAATTGATAATTCAACTTAGCGTGACCTCAATTCTCCATTTCGTATTTGCACCAGAACACTGATTGGCCTCTTGTACAAGGGCGTGTTCCGACACGCTATAATAATCGGATATAGTCACATCAGCGTGACGGTCGTGCATGTAATTAGAAGTGCCATACAAACGGGGTTTCACGTGTTTACGTAGACCCGAAAAGGTGAAAAAAGTCTAGATATTATTCTCTATGCTTAAGAAATCGATAAAAATCTTAATACCTAAGTCTTTAAGAGTTTATTATAACATTTATTATAACGTATAATATAATAGAGTACCGAATCGGCATTGTTTTAAACTCCATACCGGATGTGCGACATGTGTGCGATGTTGAAATTGCCATGAGATGTTTATCGTTGGACGAGATACCAAGGAGCGATATTCACGCTTCGACATGGAGATTTCTGATTGGGACGAATTAAGTGGCCATGAGTCGTTTATTTTCCAATAGTCTATTATTACATCCACCCTGAGGCTTTTCTGCGAACACTTTGTAGCAGTTGCACCAATGAAAATACAATAGTTATCCAACTAATTACCTCAGCTTCCTATAATAGCAATTCAATCGATTTAAATAAAATTATTGTTATTGAATATTTTATCATCTCGAAAGATCATTTATTGAGTTCAATTAATGACTGTCAGTTATTGAATTTAAACATCCGCGTGTTAATCTGAATGTGTTTGAATGAATATGTAAAGCAAATATGTTCGTTTAGTATGTAAATCTGACTAAATACCCTGGGAATTATTATATTTCATTTCTCGGATTCATTAAAAGATTAGTTGATTTACATTTTCATCATTACAAAATTAGAAGTAGAAAAAAAAAACAAGTGGTGTTAAGTATTTTATTCTAACGTGTTGATAATTATTTTATCATGTTGGAAATGATTTTTATCATTTAATCCTGTTAAATTGATAATAATGCACTCCAAATCCACTGAATATTATCCAACTAGTATTGATCTTCATTTAAAATATTTCTTCATTTATTTTAGATAATAGTAATAAATTAAAAATATTTGATGCTAATTATTTTAATAACCGATTTGCTAATTTAATTTTGAATGTTAGAAACACTCATTCCACTGAAGCGTTAAAATTTAATGATAAATGAATAAGAATTAATACTAATTAAACTGTCATCTTTTTTAGTTGATCCTTCACTTCCCATGCATTTCCTGAAAATAATAAACAACCACTTCACGGTTCAGTATCTGATGGAAATAATAAAAAGATCTTAGCATTGATGGTTTGTTAATTAATTAGCTACAATCTTTCTTATCATGTAAACTTTATGAAGTATTTAGTGGTAGGTAAAATAGCAGATTCTGTTTTCTATCCATGCATCAAGATGTGTTGTAAACATCTGTCTGTCTGGACCATTCGAGAAAACTGAACTTCGCATATGGATGTAACAAGTTCTGTGCGACGGGGTCAGGTACGTGCGAGTCGATGAGGCCACCGAAGCTTGGACTCGTGTCTCGATGCGTGATGTAGTTTTATAGCCACGTATTCTTTATAGCTCAGGCACGCCTTCGTCCGTCATTAGATGGCCCTTCTAATTTTCAGCCAACTGACGTATCTTCAGGGAAGCCTGCAGGGACAACAGCAGACAAAACGACAGAAATTTATAATTTATTTTAGAGTGTAGAATTTTTTTGGTCATTTAAATTCATAATTTATTTTTATCTCTTTTCATCTTCTTGAAAGTTTCATTTCATTTGTTTCTAAATAAACCTTGACTCTTCATATTCTTTTTTGTACCTATTGCACACCTGTTACACATTTATGTTCCACCTTAATTCACGTATTTGATCAGCTCATAAACAACCATCTTTAAACTCAGTTAAAGTAATTGCAGAGATCAATAACGAAAAATAGACGAGCTGATGGTGTACATTTGTATCTATTACTCATATATTTTGAATGGAGGATATGAAAGAAGAAGGATTTTTATGATGAGTGTATATTTCATGTAATGTATATCTTGGAAAAAAACTCTAGAGTGCTGATGCACCTGTTATTATCACGCGTCCAGGTCGTTCGTTAGAAGCACTATGGAATCGAAGGTGCTAATCTCATCCTTGTGGTGATCAAAGGCCGGCTATAAGAATTCTTGACTTCATGGATGAGAGTAGATCCAGCAAAAAAGGTTTCAAAAATAAGAGTGTACAGTTCATAGGCTGAACATCAAGTTACGTGTAATTAAGTACCCAGCAAATTATGTCCACCAAGTAATCTCCAGTTCCCTTATGACGATATAATGTCCAGGCTCTAGGTTTTTTTTCTTCACCAATGTGATGTTGAGACATTTAAGTTTCTCTGAGATTTAAAACTGAATGAATTAAGGTTGGAATTGAAGCAAATAATAATCATGATGCAGAGTTAATTGGAGATATTGGGTATAGTAGAAATGAATTGCTAATAAATATTTTTTTGCTAAAAGTATATTGAAATAAAAAATTATGACAAAGCTTTGAAGCATGTGAGGCAAAAAAATATTTTTTGTAGTCACAGGATCACTAAATCTGTCGGTCAAACATTAAATTAAGTACTAGAGTATAATTATGAGTAGCACTTGATTTTTTTCTCGTTGATCTTACTTGAATTTTTTGTTAAATTATTTATTAGCCAGGTTTTTTTTGACTAAATAAATTTACTGAGTTTAATAACTAATAATCAGTAATTATAATTGTAGCTTTTCTTTTGACGTTTAAATATTTTTTCTTCAGTCATTCGAAGATTTTTTTCTACTCAATAAGTAATGATACTCAATAAATTTACTGAACTTAAATGATGTGAAGCTCAAGGAAGAGTTGTGTTAATTTACGAGTAAAATGTTATTGTTCAGACATTTTTGGCAGTTTGGTATTTGTTAAGGAATGGGCAAATTTGGAATCACGTTTAAGGACGGATCGGTAGGCGGTTCATTCGCAGACTAGCAGACGCGAGAGATTTTTCTGATAAACGACCGGTCGTTTCTCATTTTGTATACCCAGAGAGAGACTTTAGTCAAGTCTTGCAGAGGGAACAAGCGTGGGCGGGGCACACTAAAGTCTGCTGGATGGTAAGACAAGCTAAGGAAGAAAGAGGATCTACTCATTTTTGCGTGAGCTATAAGACCGATGTCAAGACAAATGAAGACTAGGTATAAACAAAAAAGAAGAAAAAAAAGGTTTGGTCTAATTTCAAGGTATCCATGGGAATTATAGACTTTTAACAAAAAAAAATGAAAGAAAAGATTGCAAGGTTCGTTTACTTAAGAAATTAATTTACTGTGTTTTACGATAAATTGAGTTTTCAAGCACACACACACACACAAAGTATTGAGTTAATGACTTGAGAATTACTGTCTTTTTTATAGCATTAATAATAAATTACACAAAAAGGAATAATAAAATTTAATGACACAGTTCCATTAATTTTTCATATAGATATTTTTATTTTTATAATGATGAATGATTTTTTTATAATTGATCTATAATATACATCATAGCGTTTGGTTTATACATAATTACAATGGTAAATTCTCGCTTCGCCTTAATTTATTATGATATATGTTTGCTATTTTTATGTTTCACTTTAATTCTATTTTATTTATTTAATTGCCACCACATTTATAATTAAAAGTGGCTTTAATTAATATCAATATTATTCATGATGATATTCATGATGAATAAAAACAATTTGCTGATGCAAAGTGATTACTAAAAATTAGCATAAAAAAGTTTGTCCATTTGAACTATTTAACATATATAGAACTTGGGGACGAACGCACGAGATTTTATACCTTCCTTTTACTATCATCAAATTAATTAACCAACATATTTACAATTCAAGAGAACAATTAATTGAACGATAAAAGCGATCATTGATAGGCGACATTTTATTGAATTAAATTCTGTTCAACCTTGTGAGATTATATAATGATACTCGACAGGCAGTAGTGTTCTATTTCTCAGCAATGTAATCAAAAGTTTTCAATTCACTATAAATGTGCACCTTAAATACACATTATAAATATTTATTTGTTTGTTTTTAAATTTGTTTATACGATCAATTAGTCTTACATTTAAAAGAGCATACGATGTTTATGATAGTGAATTTAAAAAGTTTTTTCTCAAGATTTATTTAAGATAAGGAAATTACGGCAGTGCCTGCTACCAGCCGGCCTATAAGTATTACCGATATTATTAATTATTTTGTTAATGTACTTTAATTTATTAATTAATCAATTAATTAAGATCTCTAAGAAACAAATAAATATTATTTATCTATATTTTTTCTCGCTCTTTTACAGCTAATCCAGAGCTAATTAATATTTTATATTTATTATTAGAGCATGATTAGATAATTAATCAATGAATAATATTATTAATTAACACTCTGGAAATAATTCTACCTTTATTGCCATTGCTTTAAAGCACTGCCACTGGTTTTATCAACGACTTTAAACATTCAAATTTTACAAAATCTAGTGCCAGATTCTGGCTCTAGAGTAGATTAATATCTAATTATACTTTGATTAAAACAATTTAAGCGATTACATCAATTGATATATACAATATTACTAAGCTGATTAATGATTAAATATTTATTAGCGTACATTACTAACGTACGCAATCACAACGATGATAAAGTTCTTATGATTTTGTAATCATCACTTTTGAATTAATACAATAAATATTTATTTTTTTTCAATCTACTCAGTTTTTTAATTACTTATATATGTATTTATATGTATTTTATTTATATATTTATTTAAAATGTTCCATTCGTATAGTCGGTTCTTTTTTTTGTAAGTGCATTGAACATTAAAAATATTTTTCAAATATCAATATTTCGAATCGAAACGCACGAACGAGAAAGTACGAAAAAAGAAGATGAAGGTTGATATATCAGACACTGGATCTTGTTGAGTGAGAACGAGTGAATCGAGTACATCCCACAGTTCAGCGATATTCAATTCTCCAAGTTAGATTTTGGGATTAAAGGTATGGTTCGTAGCCGCGCCGGGAGATTGCGAGCGGATACGCGGACGTTGGTCACGAGCCACTAGTGGAGATGACCGGCAGGTCCCTGTGAGCCTGAGGATCACGCGAGTGAGCATCACGTACCGCTCGAGAACCAAAGACTCTGTCACATCCGGCTATGGTGCATTTCATTTCTTCTTGACGTTCTTCTGACGTTGGAGAAGCTGCTGGTGATAATGGTCTAGAAACTGGGCTTCTCTGAGAGGATTCTCGTTCTTGATTTAGCCTTGTAAGATGATTTAATTGACTCAGATGTTGATGAGTGAGACCATTGAGACCAGCAAGATGGCTAGCGAATGATGATAGCCCGGGGAATGTGCCTAGATGTGGTGGCATCAATAGATGTGGAGGCGGTATTCTTGCAGCTAGATCAACTGCTGAAGGTAGACCATAACCACCAAGTCCACCAATTCCTGCATCAGCATAAAGCCGAGCGAGAAAGTCATTGTGAAGCAGAGGATTCATTTGAGAGTCTTCGATTCTTGGAGATAGGCTCGGTGGTAAACTTGAAGACAGTGGTGGACTGGATGTAGTTGAGAGTAATTTTCGATGAAGATTGAGATTGGCTGAATGACGATCTCGAGACCTTTTGGACGGGAAAGCTGCGTTGCAACCATCAACACTGCAGCGATGCATCAACTTAAGATGAACATTTTGGTAATGTGTTTTAACACCAAAATGATTTTGAAAGACCTTGCCGCAGGCTGTACATCGCCGTGGGTTTTCTCGATCAAGTGGAACCTCCTGAGTACTCACAAAACCACCGTTCTCGTACCTCGCGTAGGTGATGAGACTACTGTCCGTATCCATAGCCGCTGTGGAGGGCGAGGCGCTGGACGAGCGCGAGCCACGAGAGTAATTGTCCATGGTGTTGTCCTGCATCAGGATAGGGCTGGTGGTGGGGCTGGTAGAGATTCTGCCAGGCCTCGACGCCGAACGGCTCCCTGAGTTGTATGGACCCATCATGCGACCCTGCGACAAGGACTCGAGTTGACGCAAAGCATTCGAGGAGTCGAGGGAGAGTTCGTCAGTAGCGGTTGGATAGTTGTCGATCGAGCTCGGGGCACGGGAAGGAACATCGGGACGCTCACCTTCACGTTTACGACGACTTCCATCCTTCGATTCATCGTCATTGTCATCATCATCCTCCTCATCAGCTTCGTTCGTAGCTGGAACACGGGGCTCTTCTTCTTGCGTAGCTTCTTCAGGAACTTCCTCTTTCACCACTGCTTTATGCTCATCATCGACTACATTCTCTTTCTCGTCTTTCTCTCCTTCGACCTCGTTGCTGCTACGTCGACTTTTACGACGTTGACTGAGTACTTCATCATTGCGCTCGTCTACTGAAGTTCTGTCGTGGGGTGAGCAAGACTCTCGCTTTGGCTCAGGTGAGAGAGGTCTTTTAGGTGACCTCACGCTACTCGCTCGAGAACTAAGATCTCTTGGTTCATCTTGCGGCTCCTCAGTATTGGTTTCAGTCTCTGAAGTTCTCTCTGAATATTCTTGTTTCACTTCAACTACTACTTGATTGTTTGGCTCATTGTCAGCAATTGATCTACGTGGTGAAAGTGAAGATTTACGCTGTTGTTCAGCCCCTAGCCGAGACATTGACATGTCTTCGGGTTGATCTTGAAAAACTGCATCATTAGAAGAGTCTCCATCAGTCGACGATGAATGTGCTTCTGTAGCCATAGCACATCTTGTTGGATGCTGTGACTTTCTTTTTCGTACACCACGATTATTAAATGTGACATTGGATTGCATGTGAGCGTTATTGAAAGACGTGGAATGATGATCCATTGTACCCATTGAGTCAGTGTCATCAACGCTGTCTGTGTTACTAACGAGATCTTCATCACCTCCTTCACCAATTGACAACTTTGGTCGTTTTGCCAAGTTGTATGGAGCTGACTGGTCGTCGTCATTCCTTGATGATCTTCCAGCATCCATTGAATCCATCTCATCACCAACAATTACAATACCTTCTTCATCGTCGTCTTCTTCTTCACCTTCAAGAATAACTGACGGTGTTTGAGAAGACGGTGATGCTCCAGCAGTACTAGCAGTGCTGGATGATCCCTTCAGGTGAGTACTAGTTGTTGTAATTGTATTAGCAAACGCTGAGAATGGACCAGTCGTTGGTGCAGTTGTTGTAGCTGCAGTAGTGGTTATCATTCTTTGATGAATAGCCTCGTCGTATGACATGACTTGGCTTTGAGTTGATGAGAGATCTAGATGCTTGAAGTCTAAAGCACAAAGCGATGCTGGTGAACGGAGATCAGGTGGTGGTGTCAGCAATGGAAAAGATCCAAATGGAAGATGATTTAATCCACTTGCAGGAACAGGAAGTCCAATCTGTTGAGGTAGGACAAGAGCATGAGCCATTGATGAGCGACCATCGTGCGGTGAGATCTTTCTTCGTAGATGAGGAGAATGAAGTTTAGGATTAGGATTAGCACTATGACGATTTCTGGATCTTCGTGAGCTGAATTTAGTGTTGCAGCCTTTTACAGTACATTGATGCATTTCTCGTAAATGTACTGCACTGAAGTGAATCTTTAATGCACCTTTATCGCAGAAAGTTTTAAGACAAACATTGCACTGGACTCGTTTCTTGCCTGTTGCAGGATTAATGAAAGGAGTTCCAAGATTAGGCGGTAAATTAGATGAAGTTCCCCATTGGCTTCGTTTGCCTGGAGATTGAGACTTTCTACCAGGAATACCTTGAGGTCTGACAAGTGGAGCAGCAGCTTGAAGTGGAACAGCAGCTTGAATAGGTTGATGTCTCTGTCTATCTTGTTTAACAGAATCCTTTCTACTCAAATTGAGTGCACTGCCAGAATTTTCATCATCATCTTCAGTTTCTGATCCAAACTCACTCTTATCACCAGTACTTTGACCATCAACTGGACCAGTTAGAGCGGTATTGAGTTTCCCCATTGACGGGTGGGAGAAATTAACTGGAAAATTGGGAGGTAAAGCTCCTGATGAACCAGCGACTGCGAGAGGATGACCAAAAGCTAAAGCTGTAGTGGAGATCGGTGCTACTGGCATTGGTGGCCTCAATTGAGATGCTGATGAATGATGAGGTGGACTGTGTGGACTTTGTGGATGTCTCATTGATTTTCTAGACTGCAAGAGTTGATCTAGTGGTGGTGGACCAAGAGGTGGGAAACCTGGCAAGCCAAGGCTTCCAAGCTCACGAAAGTCAAATGGCTGCATACTTTGTAGTCGATTAAGTGGCGAAGCAAGATGAGAACTCGAAGATTCAAGGCTTCTTGGTGGAGAATTAGCTACGTTGGTAGTAGCGCTAGCTGCAGATGTCGATGGTGTATAATGCTTTTGTGCAGACGGCGACATGGATAAATGCGAGGTCGTAGGAGGTAGCGAAGACGCTAAACGAGATCCAGGATGCGGTAGTCGACAATGAAGCAAGTGCATCGATGGTGGTAAATGAGCTAATGGCATAGTCGGCGGTGATGGTCGTCGGCTCGGTGACATAGCATCCGACGACGCTGGAGTGCCGGCAGCCAGCAACAGCTGCTGCACGTATGGACGCGTCTCTGGGAACCTGAGGAACTGCTGAAGAACCAGCGGTTCCTCTTCAGCTGAACAAATGCTCCATCGGTCCAGCAGTGGGCCGTTCTGAGAGTCCTAGAATAAAAACAATTAATAATTAAAAATATGTTTCATTAGAAAATAAATGATAAATGTTGGATGAATGTGTATGAATGTTTTTTATACGATTAAATTAATAAAGGGTAGTAGATAATTGATTGTTACATTGAAATAATAAAAAAATATAAAAAAAATTGGCACACTTTACATAAACTTGGCGCGATATCATTGGAAGTGGATTAAAATAATCCAGTTTCGAAATGTGTAAACGCAAAATCTCCACAAGTTTCTTATAAATTTAGGGTGACGGTGTATACAGTCTCTGTCAGTTTGTCTCCCTCTTTTCCCTCAGCTTCACACGTTGAAGAATGTTTATTTATGCATACCGACAAGCTGGAGGTAACGCAGGACGGCCAGAGCACCGCGACGCTTTTCATATCATGTATATTTCCTCAAGAAATGAAGAGAAGACCGCCCGGTGTGGGTACTTTTAGACATCTTCAATTTCATCTCTATAATTAAATTCAATTAAATTAAATACATCTCGATTATGACTGGGAGTCTAACCCCTGCTTTATCCTGAATAGAGATTGGTCACGGTCCGTTAACGTCCATCATAATAATCGAGAATTAAAGTCACGGAAGCAAGAGGTGGCGCACATGGGAATGTAATAAGAATGAGAGAAATGAAAAAGTAACCGTCGATACCGGGCAGAGGTCGCGTATTTTACTCTTTCTATGCTCGCATGTTGAATGTATTTGACTTCCTATAAGATCATCGATGCTTACACAGTAGTGGTGACTTTAAGATTTAAGTACAGACCGGCTTGAAGCAGTCATAGGCGTCGTAACGCTTGCTATCATCTATCTACTCTCTGCCCCGGACCATCCATTAAGTAAATTTATCCTTGGTGCATTTAATAGTACTGCCTAGTCGTCTGGTGTAATTCGACGATAATAATCGATTTGAAGCTCTTTCTTAGATTTAAAATAAGAGAAATTATATCTTTCTATATCATCTCACGTGTAAAAGCATCCAGATAGTAAAGATTCATCATTAGAAAGATGCGTGACGCATTTTTAAGTGTGTTAACTGAAAGATATCCGTAACCTGATTCCTTGAAGAAGCTATTTACTGTGCATGAGATGGTGTTGTGGTGTATATGTGCTACACTGTTTATCTACTGGCAAAGTTAAACGTCGGTTATGTAAAAGGATAAAGAATGTAAGGAGCTAAATTGTTGGACTCGGATGGTGAGAATGCGAAAGGTAATCGTGAGACTCGAATTTTAATCCTCGCACGCGAACGAGAGCACTCCTTTTCCTCCCTTTTTATCTCCTACTACTCTTCTGGGTTATTCTCGTATATATATGTGCTCGTCACGCGCTCCAAGGAATTCGGGTCGCGCGTCGACAGGTTGCAAAGATCGTGGGACTTAGTTTAAGCCATCTCTACAACACGTATTTATGTCAATCCAAATATTCTGCATCTTTTTTTGTTAGCTTGGCTATTTTTTTTTTTCTCTGCTAATCTGGTATATAATCGCGTGCTCAGAAGTACTTTCGTGTCATGATTTCCTCAACTCCTTTTGCTATGACTGCACATGCGAGTGTGGAAAAGTCTCGGCCTCCGTCCCCACTTCTTCGAGGACGTCCGCCTCCACCTGCAACTCAAGTTTAACTACTCGACAGCTAGCGCCATCTACACGTCAGGTGAACGAAACTCGATACCTTTTTCCGCGATACAAAGACTTGGATTCAGGTTGCGGAGCAGGAGGAGAGGAAGAAAACAACGTAGGAGGAGGCAATCGAAGGTGCCATCCGTGACTGGACATCGCATATGATTTCACGCTCGGTGGACCTGTCTTATTCGTGTGTAGAAATCGTGAAGATCTCAAGGCGGATTGTATCCGCTTTTAAATTGGATTGCAGCTACCGCACGACCTCCTATTTTCTATTTTTTCTGTCTCTTTGTCTCCATTGTCCATTTTGTAGGGAAACAAAGTGTGTGCAAAAATTTAATAATTTTAAAACAATGCTGATAAATAGCTTGTTAATAATGAACAAGTTAATGAGGAGAAATAATTATTATTAAAAGAAGCTCAGTGAAATTGACAGAACAGCTTCGGAAGTTACATCCTCCATGAATATTTAATAACTTCTTTATGTCTGTGTGTATGTAATATTTGCAATGAACGTCGTAATGATTGAAACCAGAACTGTGGTGTACAATTTTTAGTCAACATTGTCGGCATCTTGAGTAATATCGATATTAACATAAGTTAACTATAATTTGACAGTCCTCAGGCAATCTTTCAATAAAGAGTGAAAGAAATAAAAAAAAAAATGAAATACCAAAACATGCATATAAGTAACAAGTTCTTAAGTATGAGAATGATTTAAGTTACTTTCCCATGCTACTCACTCAGCTTCCAACGACAATTTACATACGAAATATGCTTTTTTTTGTTGCTTTTTAATGCCTCCAGCCATCTGTCGTATTTGCGGAGACATTATTCCAAGTTAAGGTTTCATTGCAATAAACATTAATTTTATGACAAAGACTATAGATTATAAATAAAAAATTATTTTTTCTTTTTCTTGAATAAAATAATAAATAATCATTAAATGAATATTAAAGTCTGCTAAATAAAACTTGTCGTTGGTATAATTTTGTTTTTTTTTTTTTTAATTTATTTATCCGACAAAAAAATGTAATCAGGATTTTACGTTGGTGTAATAAGCATTGAAACTATCGAGGACAGAAAATCAATCGTTTCACTTTAACGATCAATCTCACAGTATGTGTAACTGGTGAAGAAAAATGATTGAAAAAAATAAAAAAGCTGGTACTAAGCCAGGCGATCGATTACAAGTAATCATCCATCCGCATGTCGCGTTTTAACTCAAAGGTTATTTATTCTGTTTCTCATTTGCTCTTTAACTCGTATGTGATTTCGTTCTTCGACACGTAAATATTCATTTTACAATGCAACCAGAATGCATTCTAAGAAAACTGTAAAATAGAAAGACGAAATGAACAAATAAAATATAATTTTATGATTCTTTAATATTGCATTTAATTTTTATTTTTTCCTCAATTTTCAGAGAAATTGCTTCCTCAAAGTTTAAAAAAATTATTCAATAATCATTTCGAATCTCATTTATTTTTATTATATTCGGAAGTAATATTAATCATGTTTAACTGTCAATTAATTTATTCTACAACGAAGTTGTTTTATGATTATTTTAATTCATTAGTTACATTATTTAATTGTTTATTGATCAACAAGATATATTTATGAAGTAGTTTTCTTTATTTATTGCTTCATTAGAGAGAAAATAATTTTCTATTATTAAAATTTAACTTTAGTACAATTTATTATAAAAAACTACTATTTACTCCAATTGTTAATAATAGAAAGAATTAAATAAATTGTATTAGTTAATTTAAAAAAATTGAAAAAAGTATAATAAAATTTATCATTTGAACTAAAAAGATACAAAGTTGATAAATGTAAAGAAAATGAATCACATGATTATGTCAACTAAAGCTTATTATTAAGTATAAAAGGAAATGATTTTAATCTTTTTAATTTAATTTTTTCCCCTTTTGTAAGTACTTTTTTTTCTGAACGTGTGCAAAAGCATGTCATCAATATCACCTGAATCTGAGCAGAAAAATGCAATTTCCTCTATAAAATAATTCATGTCACGTATTTATGTCCACATCTCTTCATATTGTCCCCCAGTTGCAATAAACGATCACGATCATTGCGGTGCAGTAGAGAAGAAAAAGTCGTGTGTTGCGAATGAGATTTTTAAAATAATTTCTAAGCCACCTAGAATCTAAGAGTTATAGAGTAAATCCTATCTCTCTTTCTCAGTGTGTTGATCCTGTATACGATCAGCAATACTCCAAGAGAGTATCATAGTAAGAGAAACCGGTTTTCCATACATTTAATTTCACGCTAACGTCGGCGCAATTCGGTTTACACGGATACTCCCCATTTTCTATGCGGATCCCTGGTGATTCCCATAGGAGAAAGAGGAGGAGAGACATTAATAATCACTGGTCACCTTCGACTCCGTCTTCCAAGTATCCCCGTGCGAAATTTTCGAGTAGTGTTTTACGCACGCAACCAACAGACTCATCTTTTCTTCCTTACTTTCTCTCTATCTTTCTTTTATACTCAAGCAAGCATCTCAGATGCATCAGTTCGTCCATCTGCAACCATAACCGATTACACGCGACTTCGACGCGTCGATGAAGAGTTCCGTGTTTGATGCACGCGAGGGAAACTCGCCAAGTTTTTTTTTTCTCTTATTTTCCTTATTTTTCACTAATTTATTTCTTGTAGTAAATTGCTTAGAATATATTATAATTATTCCTACACTGACTCTAATTCCATACATTACGCCATTACTTTAATTAATGCGCAGACCTGTCATCTTTTGGAGCTGATTCATCAGTCACTTGAGTCTCCAATCACTGTAATCCGTCGGTAGACTTGGTCAACCGTGACTTCATGTCACTTACTTTGTCACAAATTATTTCGTTCACTTTGTTTAATAACACAGAACTAAACACTTGTAATGAGTTTTTTTTCAAGTTTTTATTAATCGTCCACTTTTCAATCACCAAATAGATTTTCGTTGTTTGCTTTATAGATTTTCAACTTTTTCGTTGCTTAATTCTTCTTCAGTTTCCTCTTAATGACAGATGGTCAAATAAATAGACATGGTATAGATGTATAGTTTTCGTACTTTCTTCTTCTTCATCTCTTGCCTTCTTGAGACGTTTTATTTTTAGTCTTCACTCATAATTCACATGCGGTATACGATGCCACACATATGATCATCTTATTTTCGGAACAATTTTCTAAGAGAGAAAGAGAGATAGAGAAAAAGAAAAGGATATACCTAATAATTTTGACATGACAATTGACGAGTGGATATAGATATCAGAAATAATTGTATATCAACTCTAGTTGTTGAAGTAATATGAACACAAGTTCAGTTTGAAAGATGAATCATCAGATGAAATTAGTGACAATCGTTATAATATAAATTGTCGAACTGTCACTAACATTTTTTGATTTATTCCCGATTAATTTACACCTGTTTAATTGAATTACACGGATTGAGTAAACACTTATTGTTAATCAGACAGCAACACTGTATTCATACGCAACAACAGAGAAGAGTTCAAGTCAACAAAGTCAGTCACGTCCGAGTTAATCAAGTGAGATTTTTTAAAGAAAAGATGATGACAAAAGTGGTTGACATCAATTAAAGAAAAAAAAAAATAAATAAACAAGTCTTTAAATGATTGGGAAATATAATAAAAGTGCACGTGTCTAAATGTCAGTGTGTGGTGTGTAAGATGATGATGATGATGATGATGATGATGATGGGATTCACAGTAGTCACACTCACCTGCAGTATGTATCCTCTACAATAATCCTCGTGGGTCCAGCCAAATGCGGCTAGAAGTCGTGTCACTTTCGCGTGTGGCAACTGGTTAAACAACTGATCAAGTAGAGTCTTAAGTCGACTTGGTAGCGCGCGTGAGCCGTAAAGGACGAGGGATGCGACGTCAAACACGACCGTCGGCTCGACAGTCTCTGAAGCCGGTGGAATCTCCTCCTTCTCCGCGACCTCGGTTGTTTCCCCACCACTGCAGTCACTTGGAAGCTTTACCCTCCCTACAGCGCTTTTGTCCTCCCTTCCAGGACGTCGTGGGCTGGTGGCGACATCCCCACCATCATCAGGACTAGTCTGGAGGCTTGACAGTCGCGCGAGTGCTGCAACACACGTAAACAAGGAAAAAGTGAGAGGGGCTGCTGTGCTGAAGCTCTGCTGGCGTTCTCATGTGTATCAGCGCGTGTATACGTGAACGCGTGGCACTTGGTGGGGGCATCAGATACTTCGTCTCACGTCACCTACGTCGCCGTCGCCGTCGTCGTGATCGTGCCGAGACGATGTCACGGACTCCCTACCTCTAGTGCGCTTAGTCCCCACCACTCTAATGTGCTCGGCTGCGTGCGTCGAACAGAGATATAACAGTCGCGAATGTTGCTATCACAGCGATACAGACAGAGAGAAAAATATGTAGCGTATTTCGACTCGGTACTTACTTACCCCCTACTCGCGAACAACGACCAGCTCGACCTCCCACCCCAACCTCCGCCCCCGCCATTTACTGTCGACGTCGTTTGAGTCGTCGCGTTCAACCCCACCATAAGATGCATCTGCTGCTTGTGCTAGTCACTGTACTAGAGCACCAGCAACCAGAGCATTCATCAACCTGCTTGATGCTTTACTCAAGTATACCACACTACTGATAGAAGGTTTTTCAAATCCCTTTAGCTTTACTCTAATTCGTTGCTTTTATATTTGCAATTGGTATTACTCCAATAAAAAGATACAGAAAAATAACTGGAAAAAGCTCTCTTTATTCTCTAATAAATACTAGCTCTTGGATTTAATTTTCTATCAACTTGAATTAGTTACCTTACTTATCAGCTTTTTTTATGTTTATTATTTCATTTGCTACTCTTTAATGATTCGTAATCATAATTATCACTTAGTGTTAGAAATAACTCAGATAAGATTAATTAATGTTGACGGTAATTTTCTCATTTAAAAACAAGCACTGGAGCCACAGTTTTTTAATTGAATGTTAATGTTCACTATTTAATTTCTGTTTAATTGAATCATAATTTGAACTCTGGTCATTCAAAATGGAAATAAATGATGTAATTATAAATGAGAAGATGTGATAGGTGATGTTAGAAGACTTGAGGGTGTTTTTGGACAAGAAAATAAGCTATTGACAATTGTAGTTTGATAATAAATGCAAGTCCTTGAATAACAATTGAAGTTACCTTCAGAGACGTTAATTGAAAACGCTTTCCCCTGATAATCGTCACGCTTTTCGCTTACCTGCATTCGCAATTCAAGAAAGTCAGTAAACCCTAAACAATTGCATTGGATATATGATAGCTAGTAAAAGAATGTAAGGATCATTTTTATGTCCATCTTTCTCATAAATTCCATAGTTTTTTATCTATTTTTTTAGCTCCTTTGATCACAGTAGCGCAGCTCCGGCGTGACTATTTGTGGATCACAATAATGCGTCTGAGATAATCGCTCTTCGTCTACCTCTTGATGATGAGAAAGTTCCAGCCTCACACATCAGTGATACTATTCACTCCGGACACATCAGTGAGACGAAGAAACTTGTTTCTTCCCCTTCTTCTTTTTTACTACCTACGTTATTCGATCGATAACATTAAAGAGCCGGTGTGTCTAACACGAGCGAGAACGACTCTCCTAGTGGCCGCTCTTATTGTCATAACGTATACGATCCTCACCAGGAGATCTCCAAGACTTTTGGGTTCTCCTCCCTCTTCTCTCATCGCTTCAAAAACCGCGTCGAAACAGCGGTCTCTTGGGTCCTGCTTCAATAGAAATCATGGAGTCATCCCGATTGGGCGCCACTTGTCATTAATGACTCTACGATTTTTTCCATTTAATTAAAGACCGATGACGATCACGCCATGTATCTTCCAAGGACCTTGCGCTATTAAAAAAAATTATTTTTCAAATGCCTTAGGATTGATCGAAATTTTTTTTCAGCATGACAGAAAATTTTAATTACATTTAGATTATGTGATCATAATGGAGTGATATTTATTAAAGAATTATTGTTTTATTTTATTTTTTTTAATTTTATCCTTCATTTTGGATAATAAGTACTAAATAATGCTGTTTATTTTTAGATTAAAACAATTTATTAAATTATTAATTTTATTTCCTGATTTCTTTCCTCTTTTTTTTTTATATTTTCAATTGAAATTCAGGAAGGTTTTTTTTAGCTCTCATAAAAATTAAAAAATACATCAAAAATCACAGTTAATTTACACATCACACAATTTAAATCTTTATTAAATTGATCGAAATGAATAATAAATTAATTATTATGAGTTATATGATATATAACTGAGGCAGTAACAATTCCAAATCAAATTTTTTTCATCAAGGATATTTTATACGGAAATAAAATCATATAATGTTACTCCTATAGCTGTGTAATATACAAACGGGATTACCCGGCGTTGCTTGTTCACCCTTCTGTCATTTAGCGGATTGCCCTACCTCTCATCATCCCTCTTGTTTTTTTTTTTATCTCTCGTGGGTTTTTTCAACCAACCCTGGCAGTTTCAATGAATTCCAGTAGGCCACCAGATATATATCGAGTTAGTCGACATGCTCTGCTACCATTTTCTGGTAAAAAAAGTACTTTTTTTTTTTTTTAAACACAGTCGACGCAGATGACGCTCTGGGGAAGCTGTGTATCGGATTTGCCAGCTCTACCTCTCGTCCTTTTCACCCTTGTTTTCAGCAGCGTCAATATTTGGTGAATCCTGTTATTCGATGAAAATTTAGTGAACGATAAAAAATAAAGGGAAATAAAGGGATCAAAAAGTGAACGTACGCTTGTGGCTTGCGTTACATGTCAGTTATAGTTAATTAACCATTGTTCGTGATTTTCATGTAAAAATATTTTTTTAGAGCTATAATATTTCTGATGTATATGAAAACCAACTTCTATGTTCATTTATTCAATCTTTCTATAGATTTACCATTCAAGTCTTGATTAGTAGGAATACATGAACCTTTCAATAACACAAGAGTTTAATTTTGAGGAAAATTAACGATGAAATATTGATAAAGCTACAAAAAAAAACATGAAAAGCTATCAAATCAATTTCTCTGGTAAATAAAACACGATAAATAGACATTGACATTTTTTTTTTAATAGAAAAATATTTGTTAAAACAAATTCAGATGTTAAAAAAAGTAAACAGTTAAAGTGTTTAGTTTTTCAATTCTAATTATCAATCACTTGGATTTGCAGTGACAATGATGGTGATCTGTCAAGACACTTTTCTATTTGACAAAAGTAATGTATTATCTTTGATTTATTATTTTTAAATGAAGAATAAAATAGACAGAAAAAATGTAGCTGAAAATTTTCAATACACAAGAGCTAGCAAATAAATCCATCATCAAAAAATAAACACTTGAGTTAGTGTGCATCTCAATACTTTCTTTAAAAAGTCTCCATTGTCACAAAACAAGTAACTGTCAAAAATACTATGGTTTAAAAATGACAATTGTCCTTGGAAAGTACAAAATACAAAAAGAATGAGTTTAGAGTATCGTTGGCGTAACTAAAAGCTACCGAATAAAGTATATGTCACCAAAGAAAAAAAAAGCTACTTCAGACCATGACAATATTCTCAATACCATCGGGTTCCTCTGGTCCGCATGCAAATGACTTTTCTCCTCAGGGAACTATCGAATTTCAACCTGCCCAAGCGTCATTGTCTTCTACGCAGAACTCTAACTTCCGTCTATTGTGTGTCAAAAATCTGTGTATACGAAGGGATAACTGTAAAAGAAAGAAAAAATGCAATAATATAACCTCTGTCAACCCAGTCATGGTATGTTTACTGACAGTTTGTGTGCAATTTTCGTGCAGTTATCTTGCAGTTTTAGACAATAGAATGCACCTGCTGCAGTCGGCGCTTCACCAGGGAGGGAGAGAGAGAGGTTCAAGGTCTTGGCTACGCTCGTTACCCATACAAACAGAAGGGAGTATCGACTATCGAATGAGAGAAAAAGAGCTGCTAATTATCAAGTATCATTTATTATCGAAACCAGTCGGACTTTTCGTCATGGACTCCTACACCAGACCCTTCTCATCACACATTACTTGTGCAACGTTACCCCTGAATTATTCCCTAGAAAATCAGGAAAATTCCTGGACACAAAAAATAATTTCTTCATGCTCAGCTCCACATCATTACCTCAAATTTGGTAGAATCATTTATTTTATTGATGTCACGAGTTTATAATTTTCGACGATTAATCACCTGAACTGTTGAAAGTTTAGATGATTTTATTTTACGTAAATTATTTTAATGGATCTTTTAGCCCGAACAAAGACATTTTAAGGTGTTTTTTAAAGATGAGGTTTTAAAGAAAGGAACGAACGAAGAGATGAGTGAGTTTATGGATGTACATGTACGTGTGTGTGTGTGAGTGTAAGAGAATATTATGCGGATGATTGTAGATGAGATATAAATGTATGTATCTATGTATATGACCACGAAGAGCTATCGTAAGTAACACCAGAGCCAGTTTGTACAACATTGCAAACAGGAGGGGACGACGGCACGAGTTGCAGAGGGCGAGAGTAAATGGTATGTAAACTGTGTCGAGGCGCTCCTACTCCACCCTTTCAACCTCCGAACTCGTGCCCTGTGCTCTCCGCAAACTCCATTAAAATATTATGCACGTCCCAATGACCTCGGAAAATCAGATCCAACCATGCGTCCTTTAACTCAGTATTACGGCAGATTCTTTTCGCTATATCCTTGATAACATCATCGCTTTTAATAACGGATGTGTTTTTTTGGGATTTTGATGCAGGTTTTGTTTGGATGTAATCTAGGACATGTTTTAAAAGCTAAACTGACATTTTTTTTTATTGTTTTTTTAGAATGTTTTGTTTTAAGAATAAAAAATTGGTGTGATCGATTATAGAGATTGATGTGGGTAAAAAAAATTTAGAATATAAATTTTTTTAGTTTAACTTTCTTTTTTGTAGAAAAAGCAGTAATTATATTTATTGGCAATAAATTCATAGATAATATCGGTTAATTTCTTATTAATAATAATTAATATGTCATTAATAAAGAAATATTTTTAACGTTATTTATGTTGAATTAAT